GCTACTGGGTCCTCACGGTTATGGCTTATTTGGTTTTTAATTCCCGTTTTAAAAACAAACCAACAGACCACCACTGATGACACCAGCAACGAGACCCTTCCGCCAGGTGGGGCCTGAGGGGGTGCGGGGCAGACGCCTTTCATCACCCCTCCCAGCCCCAGACCCCAGAGCTGCACTCGGCTTTTAAAAACACTTGTAGAAAAAGCCAAAAACATACTGAGTAGTGTATGTTTTCAAGGCACACCAAATCCTACCACACAGGGCTAACATCTAACGACATTTAGGCAACAACCCCCCTCCCCCAACAGAATGAAATTGCATCTCATGGTCCAAAACCTATTTATTCATCTTTCCATGCCAGTAAACACAGTAACCCCATTTCCGTGGCTGAATGTTTCACTGGTTCACTCCACTCGATCACACACTTTCCACCGCTGTAACTAACGGTGTGATGACCACCCCGCGCACGAGGCCACCACACACATGCCGAGGAAGAACCGTCGTACCAAAGGCAACACGAACGACCGACGGCAGACGCGCGCCAGCAGCCCGGGGGTCAGGGCTCCCGGTCCCAAACACCGTTCCCAGCCCTGCGGGTAAAAGAGAAACGATCCCACGGGTGTTCACGCTGAGGCCACGTGACAGGCACAGGCGTCTGTGCACTACGGGAGTCCCGGAGCGCGGGCATCTGCCTGCAGAGCCGCCCGCACCCGCCCGGTCTCTCCCGAGCTGCTGGAGCGTCTTCCACCATTTTTTGTCCTGGGTTACCTCTCTCAACGTGATAAGGACTATTCTGGGTGGCGGAACTATTTTTAAAGCTTTATCTCAACACAGTAAGAACTATTCTGGGTGATAGGATTTTTTCTTAAACAGCTTTATTGAGATATTGTCCCCACACCCTATGATCTACCTAACTAAAGTGCACGATTCAGGATTTTTCTCTGCTGAGTGTTGTACGATCAACAGTATCTAATTCCACAACATCCTCATCACCCCAAAAAGAAGCCGTGTCCCCCTTGGCAGTCACCCCCACGCCCCGTCTCCGTGGACACGCCCGTCCTGGACTCGCGCCCACGTGGTGTCTCTCGCCGAGCGCCGTGCGCTCAGGGCCGTCCACGCTGTAGCATCAGCGTCTCCCGCCCTTTATTGCTGAGCAGCTGGTGGCAATGGAAAGGTCTGTTTTCCCTTCTTTCCACTTGCCTCATTCTCTCATTCTTCAGCTCAGTCCTCCCTACCTGATGGAGGAAGCTGGCAGGAAGCTCCCAGTCCCCTCCTGGAGGCTGTAAAAATCACCCTGTAAACCCTGCCTCCTCCTCTAGGGTCCCAGGCCTGGCTGTGGCCTCTGCTTCCCCAGCCCGAGGGCTCGGTTCCAAGTCACTCCTACCAGCTTCGGCTGTTTGCTGCCCCTGCTGCACTGGGCGGGGCCGTTTTCCCACAGAGCTGGGGATGGAGGCCCAGCCCTGCCCACAAAGCTCAAGGTGATGAAGCCAAATGGTCCAGAAACCGTGTTCTTTAATTACGGTGGCCTTCCACAGGAGCTGCTGGGTTTCAGTGCCTCTGGCTGAAGGAGCCTCTGTCCAGAGGCAATTAAACCGCTGCTGCCTCCTTTGTGGACGTCACCCAGCCCAGCCGATGCTCAAGGCCCCTGACGGTCATTTGCTGGCAAGGCTGGTGATTAGCGGGTTGTAAGGAACTTTGGATTCCCGGATTGGGGGTGAAGCGGGGGGTTGCTCTCTCTAACATCTAGTTCCTGAAAGAGGAACGGGTCCTGGTTCCTACAGAGAAGGCAAATTATGTCGTTCCCACAGCCCTTCCTGTCAGCCCTGCCTCCCCTCCCGAGCTCACGAGGCTAATGCACGAGGCTAACGCAACCCATGGACCCTTGGGATCTTGGAGCCAGGGGTCCCTCCCTGCTCCCCAAGGGACCGGCTTGTTTCATGAGGTTTTGTAGCTCTGGTGAAGTGATGTCATGAGTAAGGGATCTCAAACCCCACAGCTCTGGACCACAGGTGAGAAAATGCCTTTAGCAGGAAGGGGAAGCTGGCAGGCGAGCAGCCCCAGCTCCAGCCCCACGCCCTGGGGGATGCCCGCGGCGGAGTCTGAGGACGCAAGCTCTTTTCTCCAAGACCTTCCAGCCAGGAGGAACCTGGGAGCCCCTCTGCCCGCACTCAGGGGTAGACGGGCAGTGTCCTGTGGTGGGCGGCCGCTACCAGCTGCCGGCGCCCTCCAGGGCCCTGGAACCTCTGGAGGCAGCAGCCTTGCCTCCGACAGGCAGGAGGTGACGGCTCGGCCCTAACCTGCCAAAGCCAGGGCTGGCAGGAACGGTCCCCGCGAAGTGGCAAATATTCTCGGCGTTGCAGGCCAGACGGTCTCTGATGCAACTACTCGACCCACTGCAGACGGCGGGCCAGGGGAGGGCGGGGCCGCACGCCGGCTCAGCTCTGAGTTCTAATCACCACGTCGCATGTTCTTCCAATTTTCCCCCTAACTCTGTAAAAACGTAAAAATCATTCTCAGTTTGCCGACTGTATGAAAATAACCTGCCAGACTTGGCCCACAGGCTCCAGTTTTCGACCCCTGCTCTAGAAGGAGAAAGAATGGGGATGCCTGAAACACGGGTCAGTGAATGTGAGAGTTTGGCTTCGACGTGTTAGCGCAGAGGCAGAATAACAGAAAAGGGACGACGGAGAGACAGGGGCTTCTTGGGAACCTGAAGACGGGGAATGAGCCAACAGGCTAGCCCCTTAGAGCAGTGACAATTCTGCCCTGGGTTATGTTCTGATGAAGGTGCTAGAAGGAAGGAACTTGCCCAGAGACGGGGTGCAGCAGACCGG